GCGCTTCCTTGTTCCGGTTGTCTTCACAGCGTTCCAAGCCTCATTTTCATATCACATTCTTGTGCGCATGTGCGCAATCGGCAATTTCAAAGAGGTTCACGATCGATCCAAAAGTTCATAAAAAGTCCTCCCTTCCTCCATAAATCATCACAAAAAGCTCATCGAACGTGATATATAACAAAGAGATATTTTGTTACACAATCAATTAATAAAAACAGTATAACAAAAAGCAACATTGTATTAAAATTACATTCAAAGGGAATTCATATTACTATACATCAGAAGTTTATTGGGAGATAACCGTGTAAATAAAAAGAGAGACCAAAGCTATGAATATGCCTTTAATACCCAATTTAATGCTAAGGCTTTTGATATACAAAGGATTGTAAAGAAACATTGGGCATTACTTTTAGAAGATGATGTCCTTGGAACCAAAATTCCTAACAACCCCATAACGATTTTTAAAAAAAGTAATAATTTAAAGAATATCTTGGCCCCAAGTATGTTTAGGGGAAAAAGAAAAGAAACTCAATCTCACACTGGATTTTATACGTGTGGAAAATGTAAGGCGTGTAGCTATTCTTTCACATCTTTTAAAGAATTTCAAAGTACTCAAACGAAAGCGTTTCAAATCAACCTCCACACATGTTGTATACCTCATTACATGTGGATGTGGAAATATCTGTAGGGGAGGTGAGGAAGGGGAGAATTTCAAGTAGATATGCAAGACTTATTACAATAATATTCGGAAGAAGGTTATTTCCCATTCAGTTCCAGAACATTGTAACAAATGCCCTTTATTTAAAAACAATATTAATTTTATAGCAATAGAACAAGTAAGTCTTGATGAAAGAGGAGGGGATTTGTTGCTTAAATTGAGGAAGAGAGAGGGCTTTTGGATACATAAATTAAATACTATGCAACCCCGAGGTTTAAATATTGATTTCGATTTAGTTTGTTTTTTGAAATGACTTGTCTGTAGCTCTTTAGTACTTATTTCATTATATATATATATATATACCATTATATATATATTTTATTATATATATATATTTTTTAGGGTTCTTATGTGGGTTTTAAAGTTTTTTAGGGTTATTATTTAATTTAGTGATCTTAATAATATGAGGTTTCTATTTAAATGATATTTAAAATCTTTTTAGAGTGTCTCTTGGGATTCACTTATATGATATAATTAAAAAAAAATTTTTGTGGTGCCTTTGGATAAGGGTGTGGATTTTAATATCACAAAGACTTTCTTCATTTCTCTTTCCCTCTTTTTGATGTATAGTAATATGAATTCCCTTTGAATGTAATTTTAATACAATGTTGCTTTTTGTTATACTGTTTTTATTAATTGATTGTGTAACAAAATATCTCTTTGTTATATATCACGTTCGATGAGCTTTTTGTGATGATTTATGGAGGAAGGGAGGACTTTTTATGAACTTTTGGATCGATCGTGAACCTCTTTGAAATTGCCGATTGCGCACATGCGCACAAGAATGTGATATGAAAATGAGGCTTGGAACGCTGTGAAGACAACCGGAACAAGGAAGCGCTGATTGGAGGCGGTTTTTGGCGGGAGTTTGATCGGGTTATTTAACCACGCCGAAAAGAAAGGTTGATGCTGCACGGGAGATCCTGATACCCCTGAGGAAGTCCGGTATATAGAGGACGAAACGCGTAGGGTTGGATGTTTGTAGAGATAATTTTTTAGTCCGCTCACTTATAACAGTTTGTTTATTGATTCATTTTATTTTATGTTAATAAATACTTTTTAGTCACAGTATTCCCCTTATTTTTGTTTATTCACTATCAATTGAAGGAGGATGGCTGTGGAGGATACTTCATGATATGCTTTTATACCATTATTAACTTGTAAGTGTAACTGATTACAGTGCAGGGTTAAAATTACTTATAATCTACACTTATTTGCGGTCTATTTTCTCTCCTACATGTCCATGAGTTCGTACTGAGGATTCCCTTCTATCCAGTGCTCCATTATCGAGATATGCCTACTATCAATTGATGCCTGTGAGTGTAATCAAACTAGCAGGGATTTGATGTATTTTGGCTTTACTACTCTATGAGTTTTTATTTTTTCTGTTCTGTAGATCTTTTCTATTTCTGGTAAGATGTTACCCTTAGTTCTAGGGTATGATACTATTCTGCGTGCTGGATCAATATAATCCTGACACTTCCAGAGTAACCTCTACCTTACATACCTGTCTCTTGCTCTCTCCTAATGGGCAGCACTCTACTCTCTCCTCCAGTTCTGCTTCTCTCCCACCTTATTTGATTGCTATTTCCTGTCCTAATGTCTTTTATACCCCACCTCCAATAGACTGCAAGCTCGTTTGAGCAGGGTCATCTTCAACCTATCGTTCCTGTAAGTTTTCTTGTAATTGTCCTATTTCTAGTTAACCCCCACCTCATAATATAGTAAAGGGCTACGGAATATGTTGGAGGTATATAAATGGCAATAATAATAATAAAAATAATGACCCCCTTCCTCACCCAGCAGTCCCTGACCCTCCCCCTTTTACACCCTGGAGCCCCTGCTCACCTCTCACACCCTGCAGCCCCTTCCCCCTCTAACCCTCCAGCCCCTGTCCCCCCTCTCATCCTGCAGCCCCTTCCACCCTTACCCTGCAGCCTCTGACCCACTATTACCCTGCAGCCCCTGCCCCCCCTCACCCAGCACTACCTGTCTTCCCCTCTCACCCAGCATCCCCAGTCTCCCCCTCTTATACCCTGCATCCCCAGTCTCCCCCTCTCATAACCTGTATCAACGATTTCCCTCTCTAACCCAGAAGCTTCTGTCCCCCGCACCCAGCACTCACACCAGAGCCCTCTTCACTTCTCACCCAGCAGCCACTGCCTCCCCTCTCATCTTGCAGTCCCATGTCCCTATACACTGCAGCCACTCTTTCCACCTCTCACCCAGAAGCCACATCCCTCCCTCACCCAGCAGCCCCTGCCCTCCCTCTCACCCAGCAGCCCAAAGTCCCCCCTCTCACATAGCAGTCCCTGAACCCTCTCACATAGCAGCCCCATGTCCCCTCTCACACCCTGCAGTCCCATGTCCCCTCTCACACCATGCAGCCCCATTTCCCCCTTCCACACTCTAGATCTCCTATTCCGCCCTCACACAACATCCCCTATTGTGTCCCCCTCACACATACATCACCTATCACCCCCCACATGACATGTGGACTGTCCTGAGGGGTATCAAACAAATGTGCCCACTTGGAGAGGCATGAATGTCATTGGTGATGACACAACATGCACCCTCTTGGGCCACACCCCTCAAAGGGCTGCTCTGCCTTAAAATGCCCGTGCTGAATTTTTGTCCCAGTCCAGACCCGATGTTTGTGCACATACACAATGCACAGACACTAAACTGTCACCCACTAGACACCATGGAGGCCATGAAGATGCCATCTGGATGTTGGGGTTTTTATATAACCAGGGTAATTCTAAAAGTACAGGAGAAGATTGAGAAGAATTAAGTCACATAGCAATGCACTCAGGAAGTTGTAAGACAGTTGTAAACCCACTTGTAAGGATAAACCAGGAGTCCCATTTGTTATTTTTGGATTTAATTAAGGATGTGGCAAGCAACAGCAGTCTAGTAAGAGAAGAGACAGGGGTGATATGATAGAAACATTTAAATACAATATGTTAATATATTTAAAAGAAGAAAAACAAACACAACAAGAGGACAGTCTTAACCCCTTAAAACCAGAGGACGTACAATTACGCCCTATTATAGGCGGCTCTAAACGCTGCCGGGCGTAATTGTACGCCTTCTGGTTTTTGTTAACTTACCCGGTCGCTGGCGGTCCCACGCCGGCGATAGCGGTGGGGGGGACTCCCAGGGAGCCCCCCCGCGGCAGATCCTTCTCCTCCGGTGCTCCCCGGCCATGTGAGAGTGGGGTCCTAGCGAGGACCCCACAATCACATGGCCGGGTAGGCTGCCTCCTGCATTGCCAGCAGGGGGACTGCCTGTAATGACAGGTGGTCCCCCTGCTGGCTGAAAATAAAAATTAAATTAAATTTATTGGTGTAAAAAAATAATAATATATACTTAGATCATATATATATATATATTATATATATATGATCTAAGTATATATATACACATATACATACACACACGTACACCGTCTAGGTGTATTTTACTATTAATATATATATAATTATATATATATATTAATATCAAATTACACGTAGACTGACACTGATTAAATATATATATAATTATTGTTATATATATATTTATATATAATATAAAAAAAATTAAAATGTAAATACGTTAAAAAATAAAATTAAAAATAAATAATTAAAAAATATATAGATGTGTGTTATTTCGTTCTAACTGTTTTGTGAAATTAATATATATATATATATATCAAAATACACGTAGAACGAAATAATATATATATCTATATACATAAATATATACATATATATCACTATATATATACCTATATATAAATAAAAATATTTTTAAAAAATTATATATATATACACATATAGATTCACATACGTATATATATACATATATTAATTCTACATATTTATTTATGTAATATTTTACATAATTAGGTATCTTAATTAATTACAATTAGCGGGACCTGCCTGACAACCCATGCCAAAAGTAAAGGGAATTTAATTTGCTAGTACTATATTTAACCCTATAACTTTCCAAGACACCATAAAACCTGTACATGGGGGGTACTGTTCTACTCAGGAGACTTCGCTGAACACAAATATTAGTGTTTCAAAACAGTAAAATGTATTACAACGATGATATCGCCAGTAAAAGTGACGTTTTTTGCATTTTTCACGCACAAACAGCATTACATGGACAATA